TCTCCTCTCATCCTCTCCTCTCTTCTCATCCTCTCCTCTCCTCTCATCCTCTCCTCTCATCCTCTCCTCTCTTCTCATCCTCTCCTCTCATCCTCTCCTCTCCTCTCGTCCTTTATTATCCAAGTTGCCCATTTCCTTAAGAGAGCTAATAGCAAAATTTTTCCTCAATACTGGTTGTTGAGGAGCTCTAAGGAATCTTCCTAGCTTCATTTCATGAAAAATCACATTTGAATTTTGTAGAAGTATGATTTGGAGTTGGATTTATAGCAGACCAACATATGTACACTATACCTTTATGGAAAATGTATCACTGAAGAGGACCGAAGAAAATGTAAAGGCATTTTAGCGTTAGTAACTTCCAAAAGCTAACCTAAGCTATGTGGTCATTAGAGCCTTTTTCTCCTTTTTGAAAGGCACTTCAGTATTTTTCCTGATAACAGTCTGGCAAAGTAGATGCTTCGGTCTGCCACTGAGTGTGGAAATTATAGTGGGATAAAACGTAACTGTCATACTCACAGCACATGCAATGGAAATGATAAGATTTTCTCACCGTTAAAACTTTTTACGTGCAATAGGTCCATTTTTCAGTGCTTTCCAGACCAATGATGATGTTAACATACAGTGAATTCATTTCACTTACTAAATCTTTATAAATACTAGTTAAATTACATGAGTTATCTTCTACGTGGAAAATTATCGCTGTCAGACTGTGGCTCAGTGCCTACGTTTATGGCTTTTGTAAACAAGCCAGAAACTCATTATTCCTTGCTGTTAAATCGTGCCCTTGAAATACACTGTCCAGTTTGCCACCAGAAGGTAGGCACATCATTTATGTCATGTACAAAAAGCACTGTCTTCTAAACAGAAACTAAAACCAACATTCCTTCCCTACTGAAGACGTTTTCCTTCACATGTAAAAGTGGGAAAGAGTTACAAAAACTCATCCCCAATAGTCTACCTGCTGAAGAAATACCACAGTATCCTCTTTTCCCATCTTTTCTGCCTGTGTGCATGGCAGGGATTTGTTTTCTGTAAGCCCAAAGCAATTTTCCCCGCTGTAATTCATGTTTATGCTGACTGCAGAATTGCTCCAAGAGTATTGCAAATAGCAGCTTAAACACTGCTCAGCTCTGGAAATTATGATTCTTTAAACATGTCATTAATTCTCTAATTTTATGTATGGAATAATTAAGTAGCATCTAGTTTATCACTCCTATTAGTTTCACTGTTTAGGACAATTGCTTGCAAACAGAATTAATTTAACCTTCCATTTTATCTCTTCATTTTTTTTCTTGCATAACAAAACAGATTCAAAGAGTAAGTATTTATTTTCTGGTTTGTTTCTAATAGTTTGAATAGGAATGCTGACAGCTTACCAATGTTAGTTTCTTTGAGAAGGGTGACTGGAATTCAGTGAGACTCGCTTCCTACACTCCTGTTTGGTCCTGAGCATCACGTGTGGCAAGGTGTTTCAGTGCTATTTGTATGGCTACACTCTGTGTTTTATTAATGCATGCTAACACATTAAATAATGCTGTCATTAGAGCCTGTTTCCCACTGAGAACAAAAATGGATTTCCCTGCGTAGTATTCCTCAAACAAGCAAGTGCATGTCAGACTGGTGTGCAAATGAGAAGGCATGGGTTTCATTTTCTAGATATGGACAATAGAATTTCTTTTTTTTTTACAGTGAATTTATCTATGGGGGGAAAAAAAAAATCAGGAAAACTAATGAGAGAAAAACTCACCAAGCAAATGCAATGAGAGAGGAGTTGTAAGTGTTAGAGTAAACTTTGCCAGGGGGTGTTTGAAATCACAATCTCTGGCTCTTGAATGAAGCAGCCGATCAAAGGAGTGTGTTCTCTCCACTGTTGGGCTTGGGCCATCAGTATAGATAAACATCCTGATGAGAGCAGTGCCAGAGCCTGGAATTCCTTGCTGTAAAGTGGCATGCTTCAGGTCAGGAGGTTTCTGACCATGAGGAGCTCTGGGATTTCCCCAGGAAAGAACAGCTAACGGGGAGATGAAAAAGATGGGTAGAAACTCATGTTACCACTTCTTCTCTTTAGAAGTTGAGAGACAAGAATGTTTTGAAAGCTTCAGCAAAAAACAACAACAACAACAAACAAACAACCCAAAAACTAGACAAATTCACAGCTTCTCTTAGGTCTCAGAGTGCTTCTAACCAGTCTGTTTCTCCATCCCTACACGGCTTACCAAAGGCGACAGGCTGAGTGTGCTAAGACTGCAAGAATCCAGATGGCCCTACCAGCAGGCAAACCAACAAGCACTGCTGCCAATAACCTCTATGAAGAGCTTGGTGACAGCACCATGTAAGTATTCCTTGCCATACATCAACATGGGAATGACTGAAGCCATGATTCGCTTCGCAGCGATGTCACTTGGAGAAATCTTTCCTTTGTGAAGGGATGTTTCTCCAGCTCCTTGGGGTTCTCGCATATCTGAAAAAGAAACAGAAGGACTCTGTAAGGAGATTTAGAAAAAAATTAACCTGCTAAGGAGGATTTCTCTTAGTGCAGAGGGGAATATCTAGCAGGTATTAATTTGGCAAGAATTAAGGCATGATCCGATGGGGGTTTTTGAGAGCAGCAGCCTTTGCTGTCAGGATGAGCCAAGATGGCTTCTTTATAGAAACCCATGCCAACCTTTTCCAAAGCTACTGAGTGAGCACGTCGAGTAACATTGCTGCTCCAAACCCCTCATTTGCTGTAGTATAAAATATTATATTTGATAAAGCATTGTTTTATTTTCTTGCTATTTTTTTTTCAGTCAAAACCATTTGAAAATTAAATATTAAGGAACTGCCAGTGTAGAGGAACCACTGGCAGAGCAGTGGATGCATCTTTTACCTATTTCTTGCTCATAATGTTGCAGAGATGCCTACCTTTTCATGCTTCTGTAAATCTGAAGTTTATGGAGTCCAACAGGAATTTAACTTTCAGTTACAGCAGAGGAGAGCCAATTAATATTTGTGTTATAGGAAGGGAGTGTTGCTGATAACCTCGCCACTCTTATTCATCTATGTTTATATTTTAAAAACAAGTGACACTGAAGAGCATGGCAATAATAATGTTTGCAGGCAGAGAGACAGAGCTACTGGTGTCAACTTCTGTATTTTCTGTCATAATTTGTTTAGCTCCAAGTGTTGAAATGACAAAGATGCTGTGATTGAGTTGATTAAATGTCGAGGCGGTGTGACAAGGCATATAACTGCTGCTTTAACTCTTAGCCATCTGAAAGCAGTCTCTCAGTTTGAAATGAGCTTTTTCTTTTTCTTTTTTTTCTGAGCTTGAGGTTTTTTATACATGGAGACGGGAACTATACTAGAAGCAAGAACTGCTTCTCATAAATGCTGGATTCCCTCATTACAACCTTTTGCCTCTGTGAAATGTTAGGGCTTGGGCAGGAAGGGAGCATATATTCACATCTCTGAATGTGAGCACTTCTGCTTGTGAACCAAATAGGATCACATCTGTACACTTACATATGCTGTGAAATGCTGGGTAGAATTCCTGCTTCTTTTCAACTGACTAAGTACTTGTTGAAACTAACGAGTGACTTCTGCTGATTATAATGGCAGATAATCAGTGGGGATTGGATGTCCCAGTGGTTGAATCTGTGTTTTGTACTCCAATTAATGCCTTCGGCTAAACCCAAATCAAGCCTCATTGTGCTGGGCTATTTTACCTGCAAAGATTTTTCATGTTTTAGTACTGAAACCTATAGGTGTCAATTTGTATATTGATTTTGAGAGTTAGAACTAGTTTTCAGAGCACTGAAGTAAGATTGTGTATTTGGAATACCTTTTCCATGATGGATTTGCATACAGCTATCATCCGTTATGTTAAGGAACTGATCAAACACCCACTAATAGAAATCTTTCAAAAATAAATGAGCACTCTTAGGAGTTTAAAAAAATTCAGTAATACAATAAAAACAAGTACAAAAAATCTTTTTTTTTTTTTTTTTGCTGCCAATTATTTGATTTCAAGGCACAGGTAACCTAGGAAATTATTCCTTAGGAAGTATCTTTTACTAACTTTTAATATGAATTTTAGTAAAACATGTCTTGCCTTCAGCTGTCTTGAGAGTCATCTTTCATTTGCAGCACTGCCTTGTGTCTTGTTTTCTTAGTTTGGTGTTTGTAGCAAATGAAATGAAACCAAGCTCTTTAGTTTTAAATCTGCCTTGTCTCATAATTTTCATTTTCCTCTGTCTGGACACATAGGCATCAGTAAGTAAGCTCATTTCATTGTCTTAATATTCATAGCTACTAGAAATGCTAGTTTTCCTTTCCTTACACCCCATAAAACCTTGCAGACCGAAACTCATTTTTTGTTTGTCCATTGATCAAGTGCAGGAAAGACATTTACTGTGCAGTCCCAATACCTGTATGCCTCTTCATCCTTTTGTAGGAACTAGAGATGAAATATGATTGCTGAACTTGAACGGTATTATTTCTAAAGCCAAATAGTCCCACTTGCTTAAATAAATAAAGTCCTGGGTGCGGGCAGAAAGATTTGCTCTCAGTTCATGGACTTAAGTTGTTATCATTGGATGCAAGCAAAATTTTTTTAGTCTGCTATTTGTAAATCCTTGCAAAGTGGGCTCATCTTTCAATTCATGAAGATATGCATACTGGTGAGCTGATGCTTTCATTGGTTAAAATACCTGTACATAAACAGAAGGTGATTTTAGGATCATCTCATCCGAGAGAGGACTCAGGTGAAGCGAGGAAGGAGCTGAGAAGCTTTTGAAATAATCCGTTCCAGTAGCATAAAGGTTATGTCATCTTGCATGAGCTTTCTACTGGAGGGCTTCCTTCAAGTTCAGAATCGTTTATTTCACTCATCTCTAAATAGACGGAGGATGCTTGACCAATCTCACAGTACGCTGTTTGAGAATGAAGAATTAGTTTATTGATAGTGTGAAAATCAATTATTTTTCATCCAGCTCTACACTTGAACAGTTATCTACAGTACATGATTATATTCTGTCCAAAGGCATAATGATTTTTGGAGAATCGCGGTGCTTGGGGAAGAGTTTATGCTGTGCACTAATATTACTCTCTGTGGTTTTGCTGGTTCCTGTTCACTTGCAATGAATGGGAAAAGTGAGCCCTCCCCTCAGATATCTACGTAATGGGACAGTCTGACCAAGAGGTGTAATAATACCTCTTCTTCCAGCATGCATGCAGAAATGGAAAGTGTTGTAACTTTTCTATTACTCCTTCTTTTCAGACGTTAACAGAATATAACTCAAATCTTTGTAAATGTGGGAGTTTTTAATTCCAGTTCTGCTGAGACGGCTTGGAATCTCTAAAAATAGTTTCAGTGGTATTTTGAATTGCTTTTTTGCATGTAGATATCATTACTCTCATGATATACTTTAGCCACAGTTGCTTAAGAAAAGGTGAAGGCTTTCACTGTGGCGTTGAACACATGAGGTAACAGCAAAGCATCTTCCCTAATGGCAAAAGCAGTGAAGTTGCAAACAGATTCTACAAAAGCAGTAAGGTAATCTTTACACCCCACTCTCCACAGTGTCTCCTTACAGTACCATATTCTCCCCATTGCCTGTCCTGCAGATATATTTAAAATTTCCCAGAGAGCTTATGGAGTAGCTGTCTTTTTTAAGACTGTTTTCTTACTTCCCTATGCTAGACAGGGATCTGGTTGGTTACAATTAATCTTTATATGGCAGCCATGGAAACGCATTTTGAGTCACTTTGACAAGGGGAATCATCTGTTAGACAGTACAAGGGTTTCTTTTTTAACTATAACTGCAGCTGGCCAATATCTTGAATTTTTCACAGATTGAAGGGAAATAAGTTTATTTTCAGCCCCAGGTGGTAAGCATTACTTAAAGCAGGACTCCGAGGGCACTCTTTTCTAGCAGACAAACTGAGGATGCTGATACTGATATACTGCTCACCTTATAACCTGCTCAAAAATTTGTGGTATTAGAAGTATTTGAGGGAGGTAGGTTAAAGAGGCACTCCGAGGTGCTAGATAAATTCCAGAAAATAGTGAGGCATTGTACTTTTGGACCAGAAATAAAGTGTAATCAAACTACAGGAGATTTTCACACATTGACATGATGCAGAGATGAAATTCATACACATACTGATACCTCTGCATCAATGCATGTATTGTAAAAACGAGACTGAATGCTTGCAGTGACAATTCTTCAAAATTCAGTCTCAGAAGAATGGTCAGGAGCACAGCATGCATATGTGCTGACTGGCTTCAGCTCCTTTTGGCTTACACCTTACAGCTCTGAGCTTTGATTGAGCCTGGGGGCACTTCTGATTTCTCCTGTGGCCATGGCTTCAGGCTCATGTTGGCTTGGAGAACAGTTCTAATTCTAAAAGATAGCACAGGCACGCTTACTGACTCTTAATCGTACACACTTTTATACAGTAGTGGAGGTTTGACACACAATTATTGTAGAATAGGCTTACCTTAAAAATTCCTGTGAATATCCTGTGTTGGCTGTGCGCTGTATGGCAGCGGTGCCGCTGCCATGTCAGTGATGGGAACGAATAAGCTCACAGAACAACTGCATAGAAATACTAGGTTGCATTGATGATTTATATCACCGTACCGACCTTGATTCTTCCAAAATCTAAGGCTTTAGAAGAGGTCAGCAATTTCTGAACTTGTTGAGTAGACAGAAAATTGTTTTAGTGTCTCCTCCTCTGCAAGTCCTTCTCCCTAATGAAGATGTGAAAGTAAATGTCTTGCCCAGTAGTCTAGTATACTTTTTTTCTGTTGGATAGTTGTAGTTTGCTGGAAGTAATGTTATGGCTGTGATTCATATCATAAGTTCGTTTTTTCTCTCTCATAAAAATCTATGTCCATGCATGTTTCCTTACATGTGATTATCTTCTTTTCTTTCAAGTCTTTTTCTTCTCTACCATTTCCAACAAAGCAGGGGAAAAAAGTCAGTCTTAGAAGAAGGAGATCGGCAGAGAGTTATAAGCAGCTTTGCTTCCCGTGCTATTGAGGCTCACAAGCAATCTAATATCAATGGATCACTGAACAATAACCTCCCCAAATCTTCAAGTAACATTACTTTCTTATCTGACGAGAACCCACTAACTACTCAAAACCCACTGTATGTGGAAGGTATCACTCAGAGTCCCGCTGCTGCTGGGTTACTGCGGAAAAGAAGCGATGCCCTAGATACCCTTTCTCCTATGCAGTTAGTCTTGAGAGATGCCTCTTTGGGAGGCAGTCACCGTGCGTGGACAGTGCCAGCTCACGTTACTAAGAGACACGCGCCTGGTTCTCTGAGCAGGCCGGTTATC